CCTTTTTTTTTAAACAAGACTGGGAAATTACACTTAAACTTGCTAGAGGCTCCAAATAGTTATTCCTTTGTATCTCAGAGATCTAGTACTGAAATAAGAACTCCCACACATTCGATAAATACTTGAGAGCAACACTGGCCTCCCGAGCATACTGCAGTGGGCAATGTAAATGAAGCTCCAGACCACAGGAAGTTTACACTATCATGGGGGAATTAGATAATAAAGATATTTATTTCAGGAAATTGGTAAGTGTGAGGAAGAAAATTAAAGCACGGTACATGGATTGAGAGGGTTGGAGGCAGACCTCCAAACTAAAGCTATTCTAGGTAGGCTGGTCATGGAAGGCCTCTCTGAGCGGAGACCCATGAGTAGGGAGTACCACGTGCATATAGAGACAAGAGAGTTCCGGGCAGTGGGAACAACCACTGTGAAGGCCCTGTCGCAGGAGAGGACTTGGCATCCTCGGGGAACAGCTGAAAAGCCAATGGGCCTGGAGAGCAAAAGGAGATGAGGTCCAAGAGGTAGGCAGATTGGCAGCAGATTACGTAGAGGCTTGTAATCGTGGAAAGGATTTCAGAGTGCCTAAAGGACAGAAACGGGGTCACTGTGACACCTCGTGTAGGAGAAGAAGCTCAGTCGCTCAGGCCTACCACCACTGAAGCCTGGACTTTCACGCAGTTAATAACAGCAGCTAGCAACTGCTCATCACTTTACTCTGTGCCAGGCTTTATGCTAATTGCTTTACACACATAATCTCAACTTATTCTCCCTAGAGGCCTATGAGGAAGGCACTGTCACTATCATTTTATAAATGAGGACACTGAGACTCAAGGAGGTTCAGTCCCTTTCCCAAATTCTCGGAGCCAGTAGGGCACAGAGTCCCAGGGAAGAACGGAGAACCTGGCTGCTCTTTCTACAAAGCTCTGTTTGAGCAGTGGCGTATATGAGTGTGCTCTCATCGCTTCTCGGCCTTTTGGCTAAGATCAAATGTAGTATCTGTTCTTATCAATTTAAAAAATCTCTCTCTCTCAAACTGGCCCATTGAAATTTTAGATGCAATAAAGGAAGATTTCTCTAACTGAGGCCATTCTGAGCATCAAATGTGGACACAAGCAATTGTCCTGAAAGACTGGGCCTTCTGCAATCCGGTTATTTGCTTTAACAGCATATTTGCAAAGCCCAAGATTTATGTGACTCATGTTTAATAAGGAAAGTATCTCTAAGTCAGGGACATGTCAGGGCTGCTAAATGGGAAGTAGGAAGCAAGGCTGGCAGGGATCCTAACTTGGAGGAGGTGGAAGTCAAATGCGTCAAGGTCAAAGATCAGCAAAGGTAGAAGGGGTGGGCATGGATGAGCAGGCAAGGGTGTGTTTAAAGGAAGTCATTTCAGGTGGGCATCAGGAACCTGGCTGAAGAGATTAGGTGGAAAGCAAGAAAGATGTATTCTCTTATTCATTTAACTTTCATTGAGCTAACTGAGAGGCTGAGCAATATAAGGCCAGTTATCGCAGCTACAGTAACTCACTTGTGAATATGAAAAAAATGCTTGGCCAAAGTAGGCGTTCGAGAGATGTTAACCATGCCTTTCAGGGTTGCAACTCCCTGACCATTCCCTGTCCCATATCCCAACTGTATTAACTGATTTCTGTATGGTTGCAAATGACAGAAATACACATAAACTATTTTAGGCAAAAAGGGGTGCATCGATCCCTATAAACTGTGGGAAGAGTTGGGCTATAGCTGGGTCCAGGAGAAGCAACGAAGACTCAGACTCTTTTCTGGCCGTCTTTCATCTCTCATCCATTCTTCTAAGTGTCCATGTCATTGTCTCCTAATGGTCTCCTCCATAATGAATGGGAAACAGGTCATTAGCGGGGTCCAGGCTCACACTCCAAGTTCTAGAGAGGAGCTGAAGTTCCTGCACAGAGAACTCTGATTGGTCCAGTGTAGGTCAGGTGCTCATCCTTAGACCAATAAAAGGGTCATGTGAGAAAAGATGGCAGCTCCCATTTGAACTACATGCTAAGGAATGACTAAAGGCTCATTCCTTAGGGGAAATAAAAAGGAGGAAGAAATGCTAAATTGTCAAAATAATAGTCTATATTATTATTATTATTAGAGCCTACTCTTGGGTGCCCAGTATACACACCTGCCCTTCTTCCTAAAAGTAGACTTCCAAACCTGTCCCCACCTAACACCACATAGCCATTCTATCTATATATGACTGTTAGTGAACACACTCACCCTCACCCCAGCAGACTTGCAGCCAAGGTACCCGGTCTAGGGGGCAGGCTGCTAGTGATATCAATTCTTCTCCATCAGTTTGACATGAATGCCTGTGATCTTGAGAATCATGATAATGGTTAATGGGTTGAATGATTAATTTGACCTCTCCTAACTTGTCAATATAAATAATGAAGGGACAGAAAATTAAGTGAGGAAAATATATGAAGAGATGACGATCGAACAATTTGGAAATTTGATGGATGTAGAAAGAACAAAATAATCGCAATGAAGACTCAGACTGAGAAAAAGGGAGCGTAATAGATCAGGAACAGACTAAGACAAGGAAACGAATACACATACAGTGACCAGAACAGACGGCTGCTTATTTCTCTCTCACCTAACAGACCAGGGGTGGGCTGGAGTCTGGGGCGTATGGACTGTTCTGCTCTACTCTGCTTGGCAAGGTAGTTCAGATCAGATTCCTTCTCTCTTGATGCCCTGCCATCCCTAGAGTGGTGTCCTAATCTGCATGTTCAAAACTGACAAACACCATCACATCCACGTTCCTGGGAAAGCGAAAGGTGAAGTGGAGGGCAAGCAATGCTCCCATAAAAATGTAATCTAGAGGTCTCACTCATCACTTGGTGTTCACATCCCATTGGTTTAAATGATAGAACTATATGAAGCTTTCAGGGAGGCTGGGAAATGTAGTCTCCAGCTGCGTAGCCATGTGCCCAGCTAAACTCCAGTGGATCCAATCGGGAGAGTGAACACAGGGATCAGTGTTTGCCACTGGACCCCTGTGGCCCTCTGGGAGCTTCTTCCTTGACCATTATTCTTGGCCACACATCTGAAATGGGTGTTGGAGGGAATGCCCTCCTTGGGAACATACAGCTCTCTTCTGAGGGTCGAGTTTTGGGGTCCCAGGGTCTTTAAGGATTGAGCAATCACGGGCTTTTGAAAACCGAATTTTTGTCTTCTTTGGCCAAGTCTACCGAAACCTTAGAAGCTCTGTGGTCTGTTTGCTTTCAATCACTTTCATCAGGAGTACCACACCCAATGACCCTTTCCGGGCATAGTTCTTAAGCCTGCCAACTCTTCCTTTTTTTTTTTTTTTTAATAACTGCTTTCTCTGCCTGGCCTTTCTCTGCTGCCTCATTTTAGTGGCGGCTACCTTGAGACAACCCAAAACAATAGGCCAGGTGAGAAGGTGGCACCCTTCATCAGATCTTTGCCACAGGGCTGATTGTCATTGCCAAGTGGAGAAATCCTAGCGGCAGATTACATGGTCTGCCTTCCAGGTTATTGCAGCACGGGGATTTACAAATCTGTTGCTGAGCAGGAAGGGCACCAGCTTTCTGCCTTCCTGCGTCTGCAGTTCTTTCACATTGCCCAACTGCTAAGCCAAGGCCACATATTTTAGACTTTTTTGTTAAAGCTGCATCTCAAATTTCAGCATTAGGTATGGGTGAAGCTGCTGTAACAAAAATCCCAAAATACAATGACTCGAACATGACAGAAATCTCTTTTTCTCTCGACATAACAATTCAGAGGAGGCAGTCAGTCCAGGGCAAACGGGTAACTCAACTCTGCTCCAAATTCCTTCTGTCTTGTTGCTTCTCCGTCCCGATGACAGTAAACCCCATGGTCGGAGGTGTCCCACCCCAGCTCGGCTTGCGAAGGGGAAAGAATAGGAAGTAAAGGACAAGCAATCTCCTTACAAAAAATGCAGTTCAGAAGTTTCTCACCTCCCTTTGGGCCACACCTCACGGGCCAAAACTTAGTTACATGGCAACACTATGCTACAAGGGAGTCTGGGAAATATAATCTTCAGGGTACTGGCTTTGTGATCCACCATATTAAAATGTGGGTCATTTGTATCACTTAAAGAAAGAAGGAGAAAATGAATACTGGGGAACAGTTACTATCCCTACATCAAGGAGAAAAGCAAGGTATGAAGAGTGACATATCCTGATGGTCGGGGGAAGCCCAGACCATCATGGTCTCACCTCCCTGGAAATAAGGACTTTCTTAGCCAACCTGGCTATGCCAATGTTTTGTCTCCTGGGCATAGACCTTGCCCCATTATTCCCCAGGGACACCCCTGAGAGGGACACTGGGGAGGACTCCCTTACTAAGGGCTGTGCCACCTAAGCAGCTCACCTACCACTGGAGGACTGGAGATTGCCTTAAGGCTTGTGTAATCTCAGACGCCTTTTGCAAAGCTTGCGAGTGTTTTGTTTGTTAATTTGTTGACTTTGAGGTTGTTTTGCAACACACCTCACAAAGAAACTTGGTTGAACATTGATAGCTGGTAACCAGCAACAAAAACTATACACAGACCCAATCTTTGAATCAGGACCTACCACCCCATCCACACTACCATAGCCTGTGGCTTCTGTCTTTTAGATCCAGGGCTGGGGGCTATGCTCACCTTCTTACGCCTCAGCATCTCCCCTTGGTCTTGACCTGCTGAGGAGATGAGGCTGAGTTAATCTGCCCTATTATCCTGCCCCTGCTCCTAGGCTATGCTTCAATATCAAGACATTGGGTAAGTTATAAAAGTGGGAGGTTCTTGGGAAAGGCCACTATACCAGTGAGTCATAGTTTCCGAATATTTTGGGTCACATTGTCCTCCCCCGCCCCCTTTTTGGAGTGGCTGGTGCCTTCCTGCACTGGAATAGGGCAAGCCTCTTACTCAACACATGCAACAGGAAATGGTTCTACTGGAACCATTTCCTGTTGCATGTGACTGGGCCCTTCTCTCCTTTCAGGATGTAACATAGAAAACGCCTGCTACCCACTGGGCATCTGTGCTGAACGGACTGCTATCCAGAAGGCTGTCTCAGAAGGGCACAAAGATTTCAGCGCAATTGCTATTGCCAGGTGAGTGGGAAAGCCGGGTCACAGCAATATTCATTCATCTATTCACCCAACATCCACCACATACCTGTTATTCACGTATTCATCAATCCAACATGTTTATTCTGCACATCCTATGTTCCAGGCACTGTAGACGACTCTGGGCTAAGTGTGAGGATAAGGAATTAAATAAAAAATGGACTCTGCCCTCGGTGAGCCTGCAGAGCAGGTCCACAACCACAGCAACTCTAAGACAAAGGCAGGTGTGTTCTTGTTCAAATAACAGCGCAAAGTAGAGCAGAATCTCTCCAAGATGCCATAGAAAAGCAGCATAGAAACCTAAAGCTGGAGGGACCTAAAAAATCACCTAGCCACTAAGACTCCCTGGTCACTACCCCTGTTTTACAGCAGAAGATGCTGAGACACAGAGAACATGAGCAACTTTCTTGGGAGTTAGTGGCAGAGCTAGTACAAAACCAGATCTCTAGAGTGACACGTCCAGGCTCATTCCACTTCGAAATGCAAACACCCTTCCCTGCTCTCCTTGAGCTGACACAGGGATCCGTCATTGTGTGCGCTGACGGATCCGTCATTGTGTGCACTGACTCCTGCACTTGGCATCACTCACTTCTAGGTGTCAAGAACCAGAATACAAAGACAGGCTGCAGGGGTGACAGCCAGGTAAACTCGGGTTAATAGTTCCAACTAATCAGATTCCAGCCCAGGTTCTGGCTTAACAACAGCACCCAGCAACACCCTCTGCCTGCCCTAAGCATAAATTTCCAAGTTCCCCCGTGGTACCCTCCAAGGGAGCTCAATGAATTCTTGTTGGCCCTGGACCCAGACTCAGTGGCTTTGAGCATATGGGATTTGAGCATATGAATGGGCCTCTTTTTCCTAATTTGGACCCCGTTATGCTTCTGATAATGGTGAATTGCTCTTGTGTGGACCTTTGCATTGTCCGTGAAAGAGAGTTTTCTTGGGAAATTAATGGTGCGAGCGAAATAACATAGGAAATGTTTGACCCACCCATAAAGAGACTGCACGGCTGATCAAGCGTTGATCTTTTGGACATCTGGCTGCATGGGTCATGTACCAGGACTAAGTCACCTCTTCACTGTGGTGGAGCCACAGGACCTTTATGACAGAAACGTAAGGACCTGCAGCAAGGTTGATGGGGGATGGAGCATGTGACGGAAATGAGCCCCCATTTCTTTTATAAGCTCCTAAACTTGGCCTTGTTCTGGCCCCAGGGTGGACCAGGTTACTGAGGGTTCTTTTTTTCCTGAGTAACCGGAACCCAGGATGCACTTATGGAGAAGGGCACCAGCTTCCCAGAGCACTTCTTGTGACAGAGGACAAAGCTTCCCTTTGGCTTTGGGAGAAATAAATGAGGCTGTGCTGGGAACATTTTGTGTGGATAAGCAGAGATCAAGATGTGAATTACACTTTATAAAGTAAGGGGGTGAATAACTTAATTTGAAAGCCGATCCAAGAAAATAATGATATTCTGGGGGAAAAGAGGCCAAAGTCACCAAAAGGATAATGACATGGTAGCCTTTGCTCTGTTTAGAATGTTCCCAGTGAAAGGCTTTTTCTCTTGGCCATTATCTACTTTTAAATATGACTGGGTATTGCTAGTGATGATTAGAAAAAGTCCTTATTTACACAAAAGCTGCATTTTTTCCGGTGCTCAACTGCTCTGCTCGGGTGTCCAGCCTGCACCAGCATCCTTGAGCCAGAAGTACAGCCACGATTGCATTAGTGATTTGTTGAATTGAGAGCCAGCTCCCTTGTGAACATTGACGGGTGTGAACAGCCTAAGAGAGCCCCTTCGAGATCGCTGAGATAGAGAGTGCAGAGCCCAGCATGAGATTTTGCTAATGGGGAGATAAGCCTGTCCCGCTGGGGTCCCAGCTGTAGTCATCAAAGTCAATAGGTTTCCAGCCTGTCAAGTCTCATTAGCGTGTGTGTGGCCTGTGTGACCAAGGTCAGTACGAACCTCAGGAAACCGCCAGTGCCAGACACAAGCAAGAGGTGGGGAAGCAGGGAGGGAATGCCCCGAGGCACCCAGCACATCTCGGATGCATCTTCTTCCCAGCTTTTCGTTCTAACTCTTGTTGAAATGTTGAGTAAGGGTTAAAAGCCTAGGTTTGGTTTTTATTGAGAACTGGTCTTAAATCCTGCTCCCCTATCGACCGCAGGTGCATTTTTCATTAATCTGAGCCTGGCTTTTCATCTACAAAGTGGAGGAGAATAACACCTCCCCACTGGGCTGTTGCAAAGTTCGTGGCACAGAGTATGCGATAAGTTAAAGCTATTATTTTAATGTTATCATTATTATACTTGCAAGCTGCAAAACTACCAAAGACAGAGTCCACAGATCCTGGGTTCAAATCCTGGTTCTGTGGCTTTCCAGCTCTGCGACCTTGGGCAGGTCATGTGACCTTTCATGATCTGTGACATGTGGATAATGGGAATACCTACATAACCCCTACCTGATTAGGTTGTTAGGGGATTAAATGAGGTTTTGCACATGAGGTTCTTAGCACAGTGCCTGGCACAGAGTAGTGCAATGTAAGTGTGAGCATTATCATCATCAGGCTGTCCCCCACTTCTCAGAGCTGTGCTGCCTGGATGTGCCATATTATGATATTTTGAAATCTAGAGCAAATCCAACTTCCTAAGGAATTCATGTTCACCACCTCAATTCTACCTTGAAAACCCTAATGCAGTTCCCCTTGTCCGACAGCTGGCCATGAAGGTCACAAGTTTGGGAAAGGAAATAGTGAGCTTGGCAGGGGCCAGATCATATGGAGTCTTACAGGCTGTGGAACGGAGGCTGAATTTCACTCAGCACCTCTCCCATGGCAGTAAGCACAGTCTACCTATGTTATGGTGTTTACATGCAGATTTTATCTGCCTTTCCAGATGGTTAGATCCCTGAAGGCAGGGATTCTCCGATCGGTCTTTGTTCTTCCTTCCCCATGCCTGCCTAGCATAGAGCAGGCTCTAGGTCAACATGTGTGGGATGAAGAGAAAAAAAAAACAGAGTCCAACCTCCAAGAACTTATGTCAGGCTCTGGCTGCAACACTTGTCACCTGGTCATCACAAGGGTTAATGTGGCTCAGTGTGCATCCCGGGCAGGGGTCCTACCCCCTCAAGTTCCCATGGGCATTTGTTCTGAAGCTGGGAGTGTACTCAGAGAGGATCCACCTTTCCATGGAGCAGAACCTTTCCTTAACTGGACCTCCACATATAAAAGGGAGTTATCGTGAGGATTAAATAAAATGGCAACTCATCACTCACTCTCCACTCAGTTGCTTTATTCAAGTCATAGCATCTATCTCTGTGTCCACTTGTTACTGGTTGGCTGGTTGGTTGGTTGGTTGGTTGGTTGTCTGGCTCCCCTCACTAGTCAAAAATTCCTAAGTGCAATGAATTTTAACTCTCCTGTGTTCACTGATGTATTCCCAGCACCGATAGTGCCTCAAAAAATATTGTCGATTAAAATGAAATAATGCATATAAAGTGCTTTTCAGGATGCCTGGCATATTCTGGGCACATATTAAACAGTATATAATAAAATAAATTAATATAAAATAGTACATAGAGTACATAGTATACAATAAAACTGTATCTGATAGGGTACTAAAATTGTGACAGAGCTTATATATGTAAAGAGATACGTGCTTGGTAATTAGCGTAGGCGATGACATTATGTCTGTGGCATTCTAAAGTTTACAAAGTCCTTCACATACCTTATCTCATTGTATCCTCTAGCAGTCCTACACAATGGACATCATTAATCCCCCAATTTTACAGGCAAAGAAAATGAGCTTTGCATAGGTTGAAATGACATGGTCAAAGTCATCCGTAGTTAGCAAAAGGAGGAGCTGACCGAGAAACATATTTGGAACCCTGTAATCAATCCAGAGACAACACAGAGCTGTGGGTCTAGGAAAACAAGGATGGCAGTGGCTGCAGGCCTAACCTGTGGGGCTCCAGCAGGCTTGGAGGTTCCTACAGTTATATCCACTTTCTTTAAGCACTGTCTTTTGTCCTGTTCAGAGCTGGAGGATGGCCTGTAAGTGCCTTAATTCTCAGAGACAACTCCTTGGCTGTTAGCTTCTCCTCTCCAGATGTTCTCAGATGCAAGGAGCCCAGTTTTCTCTTTGACTCACATGCATTTTATTCTTTCATGCCTTAGGGCCTTTGTACATACTGTTTCCTTTGTCTGCAATACAAAAACAAAAAACAAAAAAACCCAGGGTTTCAGAATAGCACCTCTGTTACTTCATCTCACTGAAACTGCTTCCTCACAGGTAAAATGACCATTCTGACACTCGGCTTATACTGAGAATTAAATGAAATAATGTATGTCAAGTACCTGGTAGAGAGCGTAGTAGGTGCTCACTAATGGTAACTTATGAACTCTATACTTTCTCCAAGAATCAGGCCAAATGTCACCTTCTTCTGCATTTTGTCAAAGTTTTCCATGTCACCCACTGAGCTGAGCAATCTCTCGAAAACCAGAGACAAATTCTCCTTAACTTTTGTGTCCCTGGAGTGTGGGTGACAGTAAGTGCTTACTAAACATTTACCTATTGAACACACCAGTGAAAATAATGGTCCTGCCTATGGCCTTGCCTCTTGCAAGTATGGAAAGCCACCAAGCCCTGCTTTTCAGCCTCTAGGACACAGAGCCCATCTGTGAATCAAGAACTGCCTAGCAGGGTTTGACTTAATGTGGAGGGGACAAGACTCAAGGGACTGAATTTTAGCAATTGTTATGCTTCTGGGGAAAACTGATCCATGTTTGATTCTCTGCTTCCCCAGTGACTTACAAGATGATTTTATCTCACCATGTGGAGCCTGCAGGCAAGTCATGAGAGAGGTAAGCAGCTTCTCTTTCTTTCTGGAATATAAGCCTGATGCCTCGCTGCTTTCCCCAGGCTGTGGAAGCAACACCAAGCTGCCAGCCAGAAGACACAGCTGCTGTCTTGTTTGCTGGGTTGGCTGGCTTCAAAGGCCTTCTCAAGTTTGCATGAATCACTGGAAATTATTTTTTCACTCAGCAAATACTGAGCGAGTGTCTCTTCACTCAGTGTCTACTGCTTGCTCAGTAGGCACTGACCTAGCTCTGGGAGACAGCACTGCCCTCGCAGAGTTTGTAGTCTAGTGCAGAAGACAGACAATAAACAAGGAGCAAAATAAACAAACAGAGTTTCTGAGAGTGAGGAGGGCTGTGAAGAAAAGAATACAGAAAAAGGAGTCATGAGTGACAGGAAGGGTGTAACCCGAACAAAAGGGGTCCCTTTGCGAGTCAGACAGATACATACAGGCTTACAGCAAAGAAAGTAAGGATTTATTTTAGGGAGTCACAAGTCCCGGAGACACAGGTGAGCTAATGCTGTCACCAACCTGGCTCCTCGGGTGTCTCGGGAGTACAGATTATATAGGGAAAATCAGTCATCATGGAAACTAAGGGAGTTGGGGGTCATTGGTCATTGTGTTCAGTTCTGGAATCAGCCTGGCGCTGACCCGTCTGCTCCCATCTGGTCCCATGACCAGTGGGGTTGTTGTTCTGCCTCAATGGGCTTGGGGCTAAAACATACCTAAAGCTAAGATGTTATCCTTGGTGCACCTGTAATTTATTGTCCCCCTGACTATAGACCTGCGTGTCCATAAATCTTACGTCCTAAGGCTTAATGATTAAAGGAGCAGGCATACAAGAAGGAAGGGTTACAGGAGTAGTAGGTCATATTCTAGATCAGGTTGAGAGGTCAACAAACAATAGCCCACTGGCAAATCCAGCCTGCAGCTATTTATTCTAAATAAAGTTTTATTGGCATGCAGCCACACTCATTCCTTCATTCAGTATTGTCTATGGTTGCTTTGGCCCTAGACAGCAGGAGAAATGTAATGACCTACTGAGGGACAGTAGCCAGTCAGTGGTGAGCTGGCATCCAGGGCCAGTTCAGGCTGACTGCAAAACCCATGCTTATCACAGCTGCCACCCTGCCTTTATGCTTCTATAAATCAGACAAATTCTTTTCAGCCATAGAGGAGACATAACGGCGCTTTGCAGAATGGGAGCTGCTCGTCCATTAGGGGCTTCTTCCATTGGGGTTGTTTAAATGTAGGGGGAGAAGACGTTGTTCCATTTTTGCTTTTGGCCTTGGGGTTTCAAAGCATCTGTCAAACATGCAAGCACCTCTATCTTTTTGCCAGGGTGGCACACTCGACAATTAGCAGAACTCATTTCCCAAATCCAGATGAAAAATGCCACCATGAAGGCACTGAATTCACAATATGGACTTCATCTCACTTGAGAGGGACAGGAATGACTGCCCAGCTCCACAGCAGGTCCAAGGCCCTATAAGGAAACCACATCAGGATGCCAGCTCCCTGGCTCCCAAGGCCCAGCTTGTAATTGCTCATTGGTGTTTTCTCCAGACAGATTAGATATTGGCAAACGGAGAACGCAAATTAAAATATGAAGGAGGGAGAGGCAAAGCTGAAAGCAAAATGCTAATAATAAGAGATGAAGCTTCGGGGCCAGGGACCTGGCCCTTAAATTCGCCTCCACTCTACTTTCATCCATACCCTCAGGCAGAGCTTGCGAGCAGAAAGACATCCCTCCTTAAATCATTAATTTAAAAAAGCTAGAAGACCGACTGTGCCTGGTAATAACTTTGTGATTCAGACAGAAGCACGGAAGAACAACACACTGCAAATCTGAACGTTTATGAGCAACCGCTAGCAGTCAATAGGAATGGCCTCCATTAATTGAGTATTTACAATATGACAAGCAATGCGTAAAGGTGCTTTATACCTATCGGCTCTAATTCTCCCAGCACCTGGCCAGGTAGAGTCTCTGTTTGTTGACTCCAACTACAGGACTCTTTCCATTATGCCACAGCCAATTTAACTCTCCACCTGTCTTTCTGCCTAGCACATCTGACTCTCAAACCGTTTCAAGATTAAGAGACTCAAAGAGGTCAGTCATTTGCCCAAGGCAGCTCCTGATAGTGTAAGAGAAAGAAGCAGAGATCTGGGCTAAAATTCTGCTTTGCTGACATTACCCTGATAAGCCTGTTTATTCATCATAAAAATGGGGATTACAATAGCATCTGCCTCAAAGGGTAGACAGTGAAATCATGCATGTGCAGTATCTGGTGTGTAAGAAGACAGGCATGCAACTTCTCCTGGTTGTGAGTGGTAAACAAGACGCTGCGAGGGAAGCAGATACAGGTTGTTTTTTGTCATAGCAGGAAGAGGCTGCCCCAGGCCCTATAAGGCATCCTGATGTGGTTTCCTTATAGGGCCTTGGACCTGCCCCAGGGGTTGGATATTGTTCTTATAAATGCCTGGGTGAGTCCTTTTACAGAATGGAGCATTTATTGTCCATCAACAATGTGCCAAGCACTGTGCTAACTGTGTAATATGGTATCTTTTTTTTTTAATTTTTAAAATTTATTTACTTTTTTATTTATTATGGTGACATTGGTTAACAAAATCCAATAAGTTTCAGCTGTGCATTTTAACAGTATAAGGCATATATATATTTACATTGTGTGTTCACCTCCCACAGTTAGGTTTCTTTCTGTCACCATATAGTTAACCTCTTTTGCCCCATCTACCTATTCCCTCCCCTTTGGTAACCACTAGTCTATTATCCCTGTCCATGAGTCTCTTTTTATTTGTCCTGTTCATTT